CTTGAAGAGCTTCGTGACCTGCAACAGTAAAAATTAGGTAAGACGTGGAAACGGTGAAACTTTAGAAGTCAAATTCAAATATGTTCCTGATATAATATACAAGAGCAAAATACTAAAAAATGGTCATTAACCTCCCTAGCGGTATGATTATGTCAGTATTTCTGTGCTCAAAGCGGTACATTTTTTTGCATGGAAATATGTTGTTTTTTTATTGTAGGTCTGTAATTCTTAGGAATAACTCACTGAAATCTGTCCGAACAAGAGTCTAGTAAACATCCCGGGGATGATAAAACTTGAAACACGAAATCATAAATTATAATATAATAAATAATCATAAAAAATAATAATATAATACATTTAATTTAATATAATCAAACCAAAAACACTGAAATGTGAAATAGAGCGCCAAGTTCGCACATCGCTGAGCAAAGTCGCAGAATCGTTTTCAGTGTCTGATGAGGAATTTCCCCCACCAATCATTATCACTCAATTCTGCAAGTGGTTCTGATTTACTATCGCTGTTCTCTAGCCGGTCTAAAACCGCGTCTGACCTAAAGGGACGCTTTTTGGACGCCATGGACGTTTCTCAGTTTCCAGGCAGAAAGAACAGTAAAAATGCAGGCAGGGCGCCGGACAAAGCACTCGGGACAAAATGTATGTGAAATGGTTTGATACAGGAATGGAATACTATGTGATTTTAGTGAATTTAGTGAATGTCACTTGTACAACTTTCAAATTTCCCGCCAGTTCCATCCCCCGTACGTCCCAGGGACCGGAAACCCGGAAGACAGATGCCGGCATCGGCCGGAGGACATTGCCGGGGACACTGCAGGAGGGACATTGCGGGAGCGCAGGACAAGGTAAGAGAAGAAGAGATCCCGGAGCAACGCTGCAGTGTATTCCCGAGTGTAGCTGGGGGTTACCGCTTGTGGTGCTGAAACTTTACCCCGAGCTACACTCAGGAATACCGCCAGGGAGGTTAAAAGGCAGTCCTTGAGCTTAAGTCTACTTTCACACGGAGGAGTTTTTGAAGCAATTTTGCATGAAACAAAAAAGTGCCTGAAAAGCTCAAGAAAGATGCTTTTCTATGTATGTGAATGTATATCTATGTATGTTTTCACACTCAGGCATTGCGCTTGCGTTGTGGTGTAAAAATCCTGCCTGCAGCATCTTTGGGGCATGTTTTGCGAGTTAGGGAAAAAAAAAAAAAAAAAAAAAAAAAAACGCCCTAGAATTGCCTCTTCCCATTGAAATCAATGGAAAACGCCTGAAAAAAACCTCTGGGAAGCATTTTTGAAACAGTTTTTAAGTCCTTTTGTGTCCTATAAAAATGCTCAGAAAGAGAGGCAAAAGCGTGGTAAAGACGCCTGTGTGTTTTTGCGGCAGATCAGTGTGAAAGTAGCCTTAGACTGATCAATGTGCTCTGAAACAGTTGCTGACAGTGTGAAGCATTTTCTCAATCCCTTTACAGTATCTCCTCAGTCTAAAGGGGTTGGGTAACGCCAAGTGTCATTTAATCCAAGAGATCGACGACATTTTACGGTGGAAAAAGCTCTGGATTAAACAGTCAGTGTTGCGGCTGACGTAAGATTTCTTTTAAACTTTCAAGGGGCCTATCGGAATATAAATAATCTTTTCCCCAGAGTAGAGCTTTAACCACTTGACCTCTGGTAAGTTTTACCCCCTTCATGACTGACGGCCTCATTTTCTGAGACCTCAAAATGCCAGAACAGTACAAATACCCCCAAATGACCTCTTTGTGGAAAGTAAACATGCCGAGGAATTAAGTAGGAGGCATGGTAAGTTTTTTGAAGTTGTGATTATTTGTCACAATTTTTTTGGAAAATGAAGAAATTAAATAAAACTTGTTTTTATTCGTAATTTTTTCTTTTACGTATTGTCACCAGTGCAGTACAGCGTCGTCATACGATCGTGCGGTGGTGTTTGGGGATACTGACTGGTGGCAGTATGCATTTGTAAAAAGTTAAAAATTTTTTTTCTTTTTTACACATACTGACCTCAAAGTAGTTCATAGTGATACATGGGGGGTGATCAGGGATTTTTTTTATTTTTTTTAAACACCGTTATTGCTCATAAAACTGATGATCCTTTTAAAAGCAATAATTTTAACTGTCATGAATGGCTTATTATTGTGATACTGTGAATGGCTACAGCTAATATATTGGTACAGGGTTCCAGGCACCATGTGATACCTGTGGGCCAATCACAGCATCACAATAGTAAGCAAGCTGTCACGAATGGAAGCCATTCATGACAGTTTTGCTTACATGTAATCATGTGACTGTCAGGATTGGTCACCTATGTACTGTCCAAGGCCAAATGTAGGAGTAAAAATAATTGCACAAAACTAGCTACTTCTTACCTTGATGAAGAGCTGTAACTATGAGATCGGCTTCTGGACCGGCTAGAAGACCGAGACCTTGACCTGCGACTTGAGTGGGATTTGCTTCGGGACCTCTTCTTGCTACCTGAGCGACTTTTTGCCTCATGGCTTGAAGACCTTTCTTCGCTGGAACTTTCCTGGTTTCTGGGCCTTTGGTTTAACCGGGCGGTTTTTCTGACTTCATCAAAAAGCGACCCTGGCTTTACTTTATTTTTGCTTTTAATCTCAATTCGTAAGCCTTGAGGTTTCTTTTCTGGCTCTGACGGAGCAACAACTGGTGTAGTCAAGAGCTTGACTGGTTGTCCAGCAGTAGGCCCTTGGACGGGTTTCCACTTGTTGTCTACTGCTATGGCCTCGGCACCAACAGTCTCCACCTTTTCTGGACCAGCTGGATTGATGGCAGCTGATTGATTGGTATTTTGACTTTTTTCTTCCTTGACTTTCACAGTTTCAGAAACAGCCGTTGACAATGGAGGCACCTGGTCCGAGGTGCCACCGGTAGACGTGCTGCTGGAAGAATTTGCTTCAAGTTTAATCTGGGGTAACGACCGATGAGAAGTAAAAGTTTTTATGTCTTCTGATTTCGGAGGAACTTTTGCAGTAGTAAGCGGAGTTTTTGTTAAGTTTGATAAAGTGTCACGTTCCTTTTCATCCTTTAAGTCGGATGTTAGCGGCAAAGCTTTTTTAGCGGGCTCTGTATTAATTCCATCAATCAGCACAGACCCGTTGGGGGTGACTTTAGACTCCACATTAGACTTGTCCTTCAGAAGTAGGTCTTTGGAGTTGTTTAGATGTACATCAGAATCTCCCTCTGCCATCTCCTCATCATCTTCTTCTCCGAACTCAAGTGGGGGCTGCCAGCGGAAGGCTTCCTTTTTCTTTTGTGCTTTCTGCTTCTTCTCTTTCTTCCTTTTAGATTTTTCTTTGGCCTTCTTTGAATGGCTTTTCTTCTTACTGGAACGCCGCTTGTGTTTTTTTCGACTTGCTTTTACTGGTCTCCTGAGCAGAACTATCGGATACAGGAGATTTGGTAAGTTTTTCAGAAACACTTTCAGAAGCACGGGTCGATTGAGTCTCAGAAGGTGGTGTTTTAGAATCTTCAACCGGTTCGAAGTCAGATTCCGAACTAGCTTCACCTTCCTCTTTTCCAGAAGACATTATGGAGTCCTCCACGTTTGCATTTTGAGAATTGGTGCTACTTTTTTCCTCTTTCATGACTTGCTCAACAGTTTCCTTCAACTTCTCACTTGTTAGAACTTTGTCTATGTCAGATATCACGGCTTGCGTGCCATCTTTGTCACATTTGGAATCGGGCTCGGTTTCACTTTTGTTATCTTCCGATTGTTGTGAGCTACAGGAGTTATGGTTTTCAAGCAAAGCCTTAGTGGTCTGCAGTAACGATTTAGTGAATTCCTCTCCTTCGCTTTCAGAGGAAGAGTGGGAATTTGAGGAGCTTCTTGTGCTTTTTCGAGATATAGGTTTGCCTTTAGCATGAAGCATGGGGCTTTCCTCTTTTGATTTGCTTCTTCTCTTTGCTGAGGATGTGTCAGTAGGAACTGTGTCATCATTGGAGTCACTAGATGAGCTGTCATATGAAGACGATGCCCTGCCTTCCGCTCGAGAAGATGAGCTACTGCGGCTCCTGGATCTAGAATATGATCTACTGTAGGATCTGCTTCTAGAAGAGTCGTGTTTGGTTTTGCGAAAAGAGCTTCCTCTAGAATAATCACTGTGCTCGCTATCTGAGCTATCATGGTTGCGTAGTGAATTGTCTTTGGCGCCACTGTCACCATGTTTGGCTGGTGCAGGAAGTGCATTGGCCTTGGCTTTGATTTCTTGTATTCGCTCGTATGATGGCTTCCAAGGCTTTTGTCCAGGTTTCCACCTGGAAGGTGGGGGGCTGTCACTTAAGGAAATCACATTATCCCTTGTTACATATGCCAAAAGAGACTCATCAGCTGACTTAGCCGGTTGCTGCACTGCAGTTTTTGCTGTCTCATTAGTTGGATTTAGGTTACTCACCAATAAAGGCACATCTTTTTTTTTGGGAGGGCGGGGAAGAAGATTTTAGCTGTTTGGATGATTGATGAGAGTGAGCACTTGAGTGGGCTCCAGAAGCATTTCGGTTTCCGGACCTCGATTTACTCCTAGACCTGCTTCTTGAAGGACTTTGTGATCTAGAAGTGGATTTTGAGGTTGTTCTGGACCTTTCGCTTCCTCTGGAATAAGACCTTGATCTAGATCTGGAATTTGTGTAAGAGTTCTTGCTGGAATGACTTGAAGACTTCTGATCTTTGTCTGACCGAGACCAGCCCTTCTTTGAAGAGTCTCTAGAAGACCTCGAAGATGACCTTCTAATTCTTTCCTGAGATTTCCTCTTCCTGCTTGAAGACTCCTCTCTGTTTGATACTGAAGGCTGATCTTTCTTTGGTGGTTTACGTTTCTTTGTATGCTTTGTCCTCTTGGCCTTCTTTTTATGTTTAAGCTTTTTATCTTTCTTACGAGTTTTAGAGCGGGAAACATGCTCTCTGCTGGCATCGGAGCGATAACCATCATGTGACCAAGAACTTGACCTTGATCTTGGAGATAAGCTTCCCTCATCCCAGCGACTCGACATACGATCATTAAGCCTACGGAGAGAATAAAAGTCATATTATGTTTTAGCTTCAAGACACAACGAAAATACATCAACATACTGTAGCAAATTCTATTCCAAATGCAACTGCAATTCAGAAAGATAATAGTGTGAGGCTGGGGCAGGTAGATGCTGTACTTTGTTGGTTCAGTGAAGATATGGCTTTATTTAGGAAGTGTTATTAGTCCATACCAGTCCAGTGCGCTTCCATGCTGTTTATGTGTTACCACAGCGTTGCTATCAAGTAAAGTGGAGGCAGATTTAGGTGTAGAAGGCACAACAGTAATCCAGCATGTCAGAACATCCCTATAACACGATTCCTCAAAACCTAACATAACAGCGGCGTATGCAAGAAGAGTTGGAGGCTTAACATCACATTTAAAGCCCAATTGTGATGATGTTAAAAAACACTGACATCATTCAATCCTGAAGAAGACAAGCGATGGAGAACAGGGAACGGCATTGAATTATTGCTTTCCCACGCCCCCCCCCCCCCCCCCCCCCCCCCCCCAGAGGAGAGCACAGATTAGTATGAATAAAACTAACCTTGTTGTGTGGCAGGACTTTCTTTCAAAATTAAAAATGGCTGAGAGGTTCTCTTAAAGTGGTAGTACACCTACCTTGCTTACTTGTAATGACAGGTAAGCCTACAAATTGGATTTTTTCCCACATACTTACCTGTAAAATCCATTCCTTGCAGTACATCACAGGACACAGAGCAGGCTATTCATGACTATGTGGGTAATATGCCACCTATAGGTGAATGGGGGGGAGGGGGGGACACAGTGGCTTCGTGGTTAGAACTTCTGCCTTGCAGTAATTGGGTCATGGGTTCAACTCCCAACCATGGCTCCTCCTGCATGGAGTTTGCATGTTCTCCCTGTGTTCGTGTGGGTTTCCTCTGGGTACTCCGGTTTCCTCCCACACTCCAAAGACATGCTGGTAGGTTAATTGGCTCATGTCTAAATTGTCCTAGTTTCATCCCTGGCCACGCGGGATCTCCTGCATGGTAGGGGTTGGGGAAAGATCTGGTAACCTACCCTGTAAAATAATTGCTAAGAGAATTCATGGAAAAAGTTGCTTACGAGTGACGGTCCATGCAATCGCCAAGGGTTGGATAAGAATGACTGAATGGATAGATAGGTGAATGGACACTGGCCAACCAATCAGAGATGTCCTCCCCTATATAACCCCTCCTACACAGGAAGTAATTCAGTTTTTTTGTAGCAAGCAATGAAATTCCAGAAAGAGGGGAGGGACCTCGGTGTCCCATCATTTACGCCAAGAAATGGATTTAACGTTCTGTAAAAAAAAAATCCAGTTTTCTTTATCATACATCACTGGACACAGAGCAGGCTATTCATGACTTTGTGGGATGTCCCAAAGCAATAAATAAATTTTGAGGGGAGGGTGACACCATGATAGCCACCGCCAACAGTCCCACAAGACCTACTTAGCTGTTCACAAGACGCTGCGGCCAAAGGCAGAATCCTCTGCTGCTCTGACATCCACCTTGTAGAGCCTTGTGAATGAGTGAACCGAAGCCCATGTAGCACTCTTGCAATCCTGAGCAACTGACACCTGATGGTGGATTGCCCAAGAAGTTCCCACACTCCTGGTAGAGTGTGCGCTCACCCGAAATGGTGGGACCTTTTCCTTCAAACCATAGGATTGAATGATTAACTGGCGGATCCAACAAGAAATAGTTAACCTGGAAGCCGCCTGCCCTTTCTGGGCCCTTCTGGCAGCCCAAACCAAGACTCCTAATTTGTCCCGCCAAACGCAAGTAAATCCTGAACATCTGAAGTACATTCAGAGTATACAGCAATCTATCTCCTGCTCTCTTTGGACTAGGAAAATAAGAAAGGCAAGACACTGTCCTGATTTAAGTGAAAACTAAATACCACTCTAGGCAAGAAGATGGATGAGGACGCAACATCACCTCATCATTTTGCAAGACCAAGAACGGCTCCCTACATGAAAGAGCCGCCAGCTTACACTCTTCCTGATGAAGTGACAGTAATCAAAGAAGTCACCTTCTGAGTCAAAAGATTACATTTCTTTATTTAGGTCAAAAGGTGGCCTCTGCAAGAACAGCCAAGATCAAGTTCAAGTCCCAAGGACACCAGGCTGGCCTGAGAGGCAGGATCATCCGTGTTACATCCTGTAAAAAGTATGAATCAAGGAGTGAGAAACAATGACCTCTGGGAAAAAAATGGATAGAGCCAAAATATGAACTTGGTACCGCCTTGGAGGTTGATATAAGATCTCTGGGAAAACCCTGACCACAACCTGTGCAACTGGTTCGTCCAATAATCCAGAGCAAAGTGAACTGCCCGAAGTCCCAAAATATTGATGGGCAGTCTTCCCTCCTGTGGAGATCAAGTCCCCTAAACTGTAGCCACCTCCAAACCAGCCCCCCAATTGGAGAGTCTGGCATTGGTGGCTATCTTTTATATCACTGGAAGGAAAATGACCCCTTCTTCAGATTCTGAACAACCCCCAATTTGGACTCTGCAATCCCCCGGTGACAAAGCTCTCCGGCAATGCAATGCTTGGACCTTCATGAACCAGAAAGATAGAATGTTCTTCCACAAAAGACCCAAAGTGGAACCGTACATAGGAAATCTGCTTCGATGTAGATACCATTTCCTCATGCACAGACCTATTGAAGGATACCTTCTGCTTCTTATATCTTGCTTTAAAACTTGGAACCGAAAGCTCCAAAACCCCCTGTGACCCTGGCAAACCCAGCACCAGGCTAGAAGCTTTGTGCATACTTGGGGGGTTGTGGCTAGCCAAAAGAGCAGTGCCTCAAAACAAAAAAATTACGATTCTTTACTGCAAAACGCAGAACCCTTGACGGGCCTGAAAGAAATCAGCACACAAAGATATGCATCATTAAGGACAATATCTCCAGAAATCTCTAGCAGAGAGGACACCACTAATTGGACCGACCCTATCCAAAAGCAGAAAGACGTCTAGACTTATGTCTAGTGCCAGGAAATGTGAACATTAACAAATTACCCCAAAATCCACTGGACCTGAGGGCGGTGCACCTGCATCCCCCTTCTGGGTCGTAAATAATGTAGCAACTATATTTGCCACCACCTAATAATGCAGTCCCGCATGGATGGTGGTCCATAGCCATGATGGTCTACATCGACTCAATTACGCAGGTATGCAAGCCTGCAGACCTGCTGAAATATGTAGTTTATGCAAGTATGCAGAGCATTTAAATATGCAGTTCATGCAAGAACAAGAAAGCAGTTCATGCAAACACAAGAAAGTAGTTCACGCATGCACATCCATGCAGTCCACTTTCTAAAAGTGTATAGTTTCATGAAACAGTGTCGAAATCAACTGCACTTGGCCCCATACTAGCTTTGCAGGATTAGCCAAGCACCTCTGCATCAAAACGCAGTCTGAATGCAAGCTCCTGTAGATCAGATGCAAGCTACACTATATTGCCAAAAGTATTGGGACACCCTTCCAATCAATGGATTCAGGTTTTCCAATCACCTACATCAGCGGTTCTCAACCTGGGGGTCGCGACCCCTTTGGGGGTCGAACGACACTTTCCCAGGGGTCGCCTAAGACCATCGGAAAACACATATTTCCGATGGCCTTAGGAACCGAGACACCGCTCCTTGATCCGTCTCCAGGTGTGGGCGGGATGACATGCCGTCCCTGTCATCTGGACACACCCCCGGGATCAATCCTTCCTCGTCGGTGATTGGCCGCCGGAACTGTAGCTCAAGAGAGGCACACAGGCGGCCAATCACCGGCGAGGAGGTGGAGCTTGGAAAGGAGGAGCCGAGCGGCACCGCGAAGCTCGAGCGAGTGAAGAGGAGGAGAGCGGCCGGAGAAGGAAGCCATCTGACCGGTAAGTGTTTGTACCATGGGAGAGGGAGGAAGCGAGCGAGCCCAGGCTGGAGCAGGGGTCAGCAAGGTAAGTATCATTGGTGTCAGTGGGAGGAATAGTGCCCAATCATTGGTGTCACTATTACCAATGATGGAGCACTATTCCTCCCCCCACTGACACCAATGATGGGGCACTATTCCTCCCCCCCCACTGACACCAATGATGGGGCACTATTCCTCCCACTGACACCAATGATGGGGCACTATTCCTCCCACTGACACCAATGATGGGGCACTATTCCTCCCACTGACACCAATGATGGGGCACTATTCCTCCCACTGACGCCAATGATGAGGCACTATTCCTCCCACTGATACCAATGATGGGGCACTATTCCTCCCACTGACACCATTGATGGGGCACTATTCCTCCCACTGACACCAATGTTGGGGCGCTATTCCTCCCACTGACACCAATGTTGGGGCACTATTGGTCCCCCTGATACCAATGATGGGGCACTATTCCTCCCACTGACACCAATGACGTGGCACTATTCCTCCCACTGACACCAATGACGTGGCACTATTCCTCCCACTGACACCAGTGACGTGGCACTACTCCTCCCACTGCAAAATTACAGTTATGAAGTAGCAACAAAAATAATTTTATGGTTGGGGGTTAGCACAACATGAGGAACTGTATTAAGGGGTCGCGGCATTAGAAAGGTTGAGAACCACTGACCTACATGGACACAGGTGTATACAATCAAGCCCCTAGGCATGCAGACTGCTTCTACAAACATTGGTGAAAGAATGGGTCGCTCTCAGGAGCTCAGTGACTCCAAGCGTGGTCCCGTGATAGGTGGCCACCTGTGCAATAAGTCCATCCGTGACATTTCCTGGCTACTAAATATTCCACACTCAACTGTTCGTGGGATTATAACAAAGTGGAAGCAACTGGGAGCAACAGCAACTCAGCCACCAAGTGGTAGGCTACTTAAAAAATGACAGAGTGGGGGCAGCACATTCTGAAGCGCACAGTGCGCAGAGGTCGCCAACTGTCTGCAGAGTCAATAGCTAAAGACCTCCAAACTTGGTGTGGCCTTCAGATGAGCCCAACAACAGTGTGTAGAGAGCTTCATGGAATGGGTTTCCATGGCCGAGCAGCTGCATCCAAGCCTTCCATCACCAAGTGCAATGCAAAGCGTCAGATGCAGTGGTGTAAAGCCACTGGACTCTAGAGCAGAGGAGATGTGTTCTCTGGAGTGATGAAGCACGCTTCTCTGTCTGGAAATCCGATTGACACGTCTGGGTTTGGCGATTGCCAGGAGAACGGTACTTGCCTGACTGCATTGTGACAAGTCTATAGTTTGGTGGAGGGGGATTATGGTGTGGGGTTGTTTTTCAGGGGTTGGGCTTGACCCCCTAGTTCCAGTGAAGGGAAATCTTAAGGCGTCAGCATACCAAGACATTTTGGACAATTTTAAGCTCCCAACTTTGTGGGAGGAATTTGGGGGTGGCCCCTTTCTGTTTCAACATGACTGCCTACCAGTGCACAAAGCAAGGTCCATAAAGACATGGATAAACAAGTTTGGAGTGGAGGAACTTGACTGGCCTGCACAGAGTCCTGACCTCAACCCCATAGAACACCTTTGGGATGAATTAGAGCGGAGACTGTGAGCCAGGCCTCCTCCCCCGACATCAGTGCCTGACCTGACAAATGTGCTTCTGGAAGAATGGTCAAACCTTCCCATAGACACCCTCCTAAACCTTGTGGACAGCCTTCCCAGAAGAGTTGAAGCGGTTATAGCTGCAAATGGTGGGGCCAACTCAATATTGAACCCTACGGACTAAGACTGGGGGGCCATTAAAGTCCATGTGTGTGTAAAGGCAGGTGGCCCAATACTTTTGGCAACATAGTTTATTTTGGAGACACAACTCCTATAAGTACACTGATACCTTAGCAGGGGTGTATCTGCTTTGAGTCCCAGCCTTCTCACAGAAACTTCATCCTTCAGCCCATGTGTGACTACAAATATAACAAAAAATGGCCACCTTCTACTTCCTGCCTCTACTGCACAAAAGCAGGCTATACAGAGCGGCCCCGCACCTTCTGGCTGGAGGAGAAAACTGCAGTCCTTCTGAAACTCAAAGAGCATGGCCAGGTCAAACCAAACAGCACACTACCGCCAGTAGCCATCAGGAGAAATGACCAGACAGTCATATTTCTTTTTTATAGAAACACTGCAAATGTAAACTTACCATTCCCGCTGCAGGATTTTGAATTCACCAATCACAGTGGGCCCTGTCATGCAGGCCTTCAAAGACTCGGCCCCCATAATGCGGGGCCACTGCCTTGGACCAGTACAGCACCCTGCTGGAAAGCACCTTGATCAGAACAAACACTGCACAGGGTTCCATTACACAGGGTCCAGTGCCATATGGCTACATTACAGGCAAAACCCTGAGTATTCTACTCCTATCCAGCGAGGCTCGGGTACAATCCATTTTGGCTAACAGCTTTTCGAATGGATCCAATTTAAGTCCTTGATTCTCAACAGAACTGTTCCAGACCGCCAAGTATTCTCGCAGTGCACATGTTCAGTGACCATCCATCTTACAGACACTGGTGAAAAAACAGAAGTACTTCCTGTGTAGGAGTCATATAGGGGAGGACTTCCTCTCTGATTGGTCGGCCAGTGTCCATTCACCTATAGGTGGCACATAACCCACAAAGCCATGAATAGTCTGCTCTGTGTCCCCATGATGTACGATAAAGAAATAAGGCTTACCTGTAGGTACAGTAAATATCTCCTAAATGTGCACTATTTAGGAGATATTTACTATTGTAGCAGCCAGTGACGTCACTGGTGCACACGCACTGCACTCTCAATGGACGGTGTGCTGTCCATTGAGAAAGTCATATCACGACCAAGACTCACACACGCATGCACGAGAGTGATGTCACTGCAGTTCGGCCAAACAGTCGAAGCCCCTCAAACCCAGAAGGAAGAGTGGGGGGAAGATGGAAGAGCAGGGGGAAAATGGAAGAGCCGGGGGGAAAATGGAAGAGCGGGGGGAAAATGGAAGAGCGGGGGGAAGATGGAAGCCCTGTAAGCGGTGATAGTGCATCTCTGGAGGGCTTCGTTCTAAGGCAAGTCTTTCATAATGTGCTAGCATACATCAGATTGTGCTATTATTTTGTAGGGGAAATTTTTTGGGCAGTTTACTACAAATTTAAAATACTCTTGACTGCGGCACACTCGAATCTTACTTGTCGCCCTTGCTCCATTTTTCTCCAGAGGGGGGTTTATAGGTCTTCAATCTCTGCATTTCCTCCTTCCAATGTGGAGGTGTCTCACTGCTTTCGCCATCATCCGATTCTGATCGAGATCTAGACCTTGGGGGTGTGTGGTATCGCTGGAAGCAGGTAAAAAAAAATTGTAAGATGCAGAGTGAGCCATGCCAGTGTGACCTATAACAGTTTTAATGTCCAGATTCCTAGTTACGACCTTCACACTGCATGATAAATAATAGAAGCAGGTTTACAATGAAAACGTGCATCGACAGATGTGTTCACTGTATTGTTGAACTTTTCATCTCGGCATTTCAGTAATAAAAGGGATTGCGAGCCCCCTTGCAGCTTGCTATGTACATTCGGGGGGGGGGGGGGGGAAGTATGAGAGAGGCCAGGAGCACCGAGCATGCAAATATAACATATAACACAGGCCTTGAAACTTCCACTCGCCTGCTTGGCAATGGCGAGTGGAAATTAAGGCGGGGGCGAGTGTGTCCCCCAGGGCCGTCTTGCTGAGCAGGCTCGGAGCTCATGCTGGATCTATCATTGGCACTGGGAGCCATCAGGCTGCTCAATAGCTGAGCGCAGTGAAAGCAAAGGAAGGAGTGTGTGCTGTGCTCTCTGCCTCCCCCTAGAGTGCAATACCCGGCTCTGTGAGTGAACAACGAAGTACTGCAACTTTTTATAGGGTGTGTGTGTGCCTACCTAATTTCAGCTCTCTGGTCACGTGATCCTCTATATCAGCCAGTGGTGGCTTCAGGGGAGAGGAGAGAGCACTTAACAGCGTGTGTGTATGCATGTCTGTGTATGTACATGTATGTGTGTGCGCGCATGTACATGTGTCTGTACGTGTGTATTTCTGTGTATGTACATGTATCTGTGTGTATGCGTGTCTGTACGTGCCTGTGTGTGTATACATGTGTCTGTATGTGTGTGTACATGTTTCTGTGTGTGTGTGTGTGTGTGTGTACAGGTGTCTCTGTGTGTGTTTGTTGGTGGCGAGTAACTCTTAAGGCCTGGCTAGTAGCTCAGGACTTGAAATTTTAAGCCCTGATGTAACACATGGTTTAAAAATAAAATTGAGTCTTTAGAATCACTAAGTTCACCTGGTGCAGTAACATTCTTGTGTATATTATACCGTAGCTGTTGGAAATGAAATGAAACTGAATGTTGGAAGTATCATGACCTGTCCTTGAAACTTCCAAAACTTTTATAAGGGCTTGTACACATTATGGTGCAGAGACGTCTTTTTTTTCCTGCACGCGTTCCGCAAGAGCACAACACAATCAATTGTTCTCTATGTGCCCTGTTCACACCACAACACTAGAATCAGGTGCAGATTTTTTTCTGCGCAGGAATCTGCAACGTGTATAAAACTCATTGCAGCATGCATGAAAACTGATGTCTCTGCAATTGAAATATGCAATTCAGTTTTTCTGCACATATGGTGTGAAGGAGGCCTAAAAGGTCAGCTGTGTTCCTAGCTACTCAGTACTTTCCATGCTTGAATTTGCTGAGCAGTTGGAAGCCTGCATAATGTACATGGTAGTACTCTGGTCTAGTATGAGCCTTCTAGAATGGAATCACACTCAGCAAATACATGACACGTACTATGGTGCCTCGGCCTCTGATTTTCCTTCCCGATTTGGTGACAGAGCTTTTGTCAGGCAGTGCAGTAGACGGCTTCCTAGAAGTGGAAAAATAGAAAATTATTGCTCGAAAACGTCACATTTCTGATATTTATATTTATTTATTATAGGTACTTATAGAGCGCCGTCAATATATGCAGCTCTGTAGACATATATATATATTATTCATTCAAATAATTTCATTCTTGCAGCCATTGAGAACTTCTGTGTGAGCTGTGATTGGTCACAGCTTGTCACATGGTACAAGGCTGTTGTGAATAGCCCTGTACCATGTGACCTCTGTGATCATTCACAGATTTCACACGTAGTAAGCAATGATGTCAGAAGTGACATCTTGCTTACTACTCTGCATGTGATCACTGATTGGCCAATCAGTGATCACATGATCGGGACCTCGCACAGAGATCCCATCCGACGATCGGTGTTCCACTGTGTCTGGAGGACACAGCGGGCACCGGATCGCGGTGCTACGCGCTCCCAGGGAGCGCACACAAGCAGGAGGCGGGGAGGCCGTTTATAAATGGCCACCCGACCCTGCACTGCTACCGTCTGGCCGGACGGGAAGTGGTTAAGTATAATTTGATTGTTACTTCATAATGCCATCCTATGATCCTTCTGCATTGATTGGTGGGGGGAGGGGTGCTCTCTGTTCCCTGTGGGTCCACTGTTGTGGGGATACTTCCTATGGTTCTGAATGTGAGAAAATGGCTGTGTGATCTAACTGCATATTAACACGATAACACTGTCATTTTGCAGCAACTCTTGGATTTCTTGCGTAATGGGTAGCACTGGAAAGTTTCCTTTCTTACGTCGTTCTTTTAGTTAACGATTGATTCTCTGATACCATTCTTTATGTGATCCTTTCTTTTGATATTTGTATGACTTTAACGTTTAATAAACGTCATTCCTGATTTTAAAAAAAAAGAGAAGTATAATGCATTAACTAAAGCCTCCCATCAAATAAAAAATATGTGTTGCAGCACTTAATTATAACACTTAGTTTTCTCTCAGCCCCCCTGTAAAGTTCTGCAAACCCTGTTGATTTTGCCAGTACTGTAGTAACCACCTAATGTAACTTCCTGTAATGGGGTGGCAACAATACTGCACTGCTCCTGAATTCAGAGCAGAGTTGTCACTTTCATGTAAGCTGTGCCTGCCTGCACTAGAGAGGGAGGAGAAGATGTTGCAGAGGAACAAGACATAACAAGTGTATAGATGCTTTGATTGTATCATCCACAAAAATATTGAGATACAAACATAGAAGGAAAGGCACATATGGATAGCCAGATACACGTGTCTATCCCTCTCGGGGGGGTGAACCCTGAGAAAGGCAGAGAACTGAGCAATAATTGTCGCTCCAAAAACACAGAATAATGATTATTCAACTTTACATGTCTGGTCGGCAACTTCCATACAGCCAATGCGCGGTGGCATTAGACAAAGTAGAGCGAAAGGTCGAGCCATTACCTCCGAGTCTTACAAGACCGCTGGCCCACAAGGGTCCCTCCGGGACCAGGACATTGTAACCTATGGGTCCACCCCCGCATCATCAACATCAGACATAGTAATAACCAAAGTATAACAACACCGTAACACAATGTCATAGTTGGCGATTAACAATAGATGTCCAGGTGTTGAGACAGGGCGTGTCGAAGCTCAGTGACACCCCCAACTCAACCACTGGCTGTAGGGACCAGTATAAATGGATTTTGCTTAGTGAAAGTGGTTTGTTCTCAGGGGTAAAGGACTGCTTACGGTTCAGGATCCGCTTTGGCGATGGGTGCATCTCTCCTCAACAGAAACCGATTTTCAGGTACGGGAGGAATTTCTTCTGGACGCACAACAAGTTTTTCCCTCTTTGCCCCGGCCTCTTTATCCTCCACAGTGTTGCTCTTCTCAGAATGAGTGCTGCGAAAAATATAGAGTAGTAAATGTGCTTACGCGTCACTTTTACCTGGCTCCATTGTAATGTGCAGCCCCCTGTAATCTAAAATACATACAGTACATTACAATCTGTATTGAGATAAATACAAGGCCTGCCATCCCTGATATGAGGGAATAACGGCCCTGCCCATTAGTGATTACAATGTCGCAGGAGGTATGATGGTCCCGCCTATTAGTGATTACAATGTCGCAGGAGGTATGATGGTCCCACCTATTAGAGATTACAATGTCGCAGGAGGTATGATGGCCCTTCCTATTAGAGATTACAATGATGCAGGAGGTATGATGGTCCCGCCTATTAGAGACTACAATGTCGCAGGAGGTATGATGGTCCCGCCTATTAGAGATTACAATGTCGCAGGAGGTATGATGGCCCTCCCTATTAGAGATTACAATGATGCAGGAGGTATGATGGTCCCGCCTATTTACAATGTCGCAGAGGTATGATGGTATAGAGATGATGCAGGGTCCCGCCTATTAGAGATTACAATGATTACACAGGAGGTATGATGGTCCCACCTATTAGAGATTACAATGTCACAGGAGGTATGATGGTCCCGCCTATTAGAGATTACAATGATGCAGAGGTATGATGGTGCCTATTAGAGATTACAATGATGCAGGAGGTATGATGGTCCCGCTTATTATAGATTACAATGTCACAGAAGGTATGATGGTCCCGCCTATTAGAGAATACAATGATGCAGGAGGTATGATGGTCCCACCTATTAGAGATTACAATGATGCAGGAGGGTATGATGGTCCCGCAGGAGGTATATTAGCCTATTAGAGATTACAAATGATGAGGAGGATTATGTATGATGGTCCCACCTATTAGAGATTACAATGTCGCAGGAGGAGGTATGATGGTCCCACCTATTAGAGATTACAATGATGCAGGAGGTATGATGGTCCCCCCATTAGAGATTACAATTACAGAAGGTATGATGGTCCCCGCCTATTAGAGAATACAATGATGCAGGAGGTATGATGGTCCCGCCTATTAGAGATTACAATGTTGCAGGATGAGGTAGAGAATACAATGATGCAGGAGGTATGATGGTCCCACCTATTACAGATTACAATGCAGGAGAGATTACAATGATGCAGGAGGTATGATGGTCCCGCCCATTAGAGATTACTATGTGATGGAGATTACAATGATGCAGGATGTATGATGGTCCCGCCCATTAGAGATTACAATGTCACAGAATGTCGCAGGAGGTATGATGGTCCCACCTATTAGAGATTACAATGTCGCAGGAGGTATGATGGTCCCGCCTATTAGAGATTACAATGATGCAGGAGGTATGATGGTCCCGCCTATTAGAGATTACAATGATGCAGGAGGAATGATGGTCCCACCTATTAGAGATTACAATGATGCAGGAGGTATGATGGCCCTTCCTATTAGAGATTACAATGCAGGAGGCAGTCCCACCTATTAGAGATTAAAATGCAGGAGGTTCAGCTTATTAGAGATCACAATGTAAGAGAAGGGATGAGGGGCCCTGCGCATTACAGATTAAAACAGAACAGTAAGAGGTATGAGGGTATTGTCCCTTTAAAGTGGTTGTAAACTTTAGATCCAGTGAAGGGACTGGCCTCAGGTGATACACAGATGAAGCAAATCCTATATAAACTGTTCAAAGTCCAGATTTTACACAGCTCTTCCAAAGTCAGGGGGCAGAGGTCTGATGTCACACATGCATAACTTTGAGCAGAGCTAAGTGTAATTTGAGACCTGAGTGGAAGGACCCTTCCATTCAGTTTCACAGGGAAACATGCACAGCCAGTGGTGTGTGGAATTCCTTGGTGTCCATAGACTGCAGAAGTGACTGATGTAGATAGCAGAGGAAGGAGAGAGGAGACATTAATCACACTAGGTGCTTTAGATAGAGGCCAGTACACAATATAAGAGCAGATGCTTTGTTCATTTTTCATTTCAAAGGTTTACAACCACTTTAAATATTACAATCTAATAAGGGTAAAAAAAAAAAAAAGAGGTGTATAGACACAAAGTAGCTAAGAACAGGTTTATCATGCTGTGCAGAGCGTGACGTCATTTCACCGCCGGAGCAACGAGGAGGCCCGGCGGCCATCTTTGAATGGGTCAGTACTGCTGTTTTCACTTATATTCGTTTTCTGTGACATGCATACTACCCTGCTTTTAGCCTATCAATAAATACATTTTGGGAACATACTACACTATTTCTGGCACTTGTTTTTGGGGCTCCTATGTGGAGCTATTACTCCCACAGAAAAGGTGCCTATGCCATCTGGAGGAGGGATCACCACCACCATAGAGGATTACCTGGCTGACCTTAAGGGGATCTCTGGACCTGAGTTGGAGCTCTGGATGACCCACCATGAGAGAGGGATGCCCACCAACTGTTCTGTGACGGATCTAACATCTAGGATAATCATTGTTACATGCGCATAATCCATGCGTTTCTGGTGAGTGTGCATTGCTATTATTTGAGGCAGTAAAGCTCTGGATATCTTCACTACCCCTGAGAGCACCGAGGATACTTGATTGACTTTCAGTTTGTTGTTTTCTTGCTGTCTTTTTCTGCATTGGATCTAATTTATAAGCGCTGCACTATATTATTTATCTTTAGGTTTATCATGCAGTTTCTGTACAAGTGGATTCATACAGGGCAGATGATGCTAAAGGATCCTAATGGAAGTGTATGAAGGGTATGGTGCTAATTAGTGAAAATAGAATGAATAAGGGACATAATGGGTGTAAAACTGTGTAAAAAACTGAAGAGAGCATTCCAGCATAAAAGAACCCCAGGCGATGTCTTTCAATGGGAATGCAGGAATATAAGGGGATGAGGGAAGATTCTGATCAGACCTGGCCGTGCCTATAGGAGACAACTTCTCTAGAAGGCAGTAGATCCGCTGGGAGATTTCTGGAGCCCACCATACCTGTGCTGACTCTGGGGATGGTCCTCCTTGACCTCTTGTCGATTCTCCTTGCGTCGTTTCTTCGAGTGCTTTACTTTGGCTTTCCGCTTGCGCTTCCTCCTCCTGTTCTTTGCAGCTTCTTCTTCGCTATCAGAAGAGGAAGACTCTGAGGATGACGATGATGAAGACGACTTTGAACTGGAATCTGATCGCTCAGCTGCAGAAGGGGCCTGCTTGACTTTTTCTGGGGCTTTAAAAGGAGAAAACATAAGCGATTGCTTTATTGATAAAAAGGAAATCTAAAACATTCTAATGGATTCATGTGTGCTTAAAGGCATTATAAACCGCACTACGCTGTACCTCCAACTGCAGAAGACGCACATTGAACTGATAGTTTTGTGGTGGTGTTTGTTGCCCTGTACACACAGCTATGGTAGGGTAAATGTTCACTTTCCTGTGTCAGAAGTTCCTGTTTGTGTTCAAACCAGGGGCGGACTGACCATTTGGGAACTCGGGCACTGCCAGAGGGCCCGAGGTCAGTAGGGGGCCCCATGAGATGCCCCTGGTACCTTTCATAGGCTTTTTTTGGCTGTGGTTTGAGTGTGGGCGAGGATACAGGGGCCCCATGAGTTGTCAGTCCACCCCTGGTTAAAACATGAGGTACCAACATGGTACCGGTTTATCTGTCCCCATCATTTCTCTACAGCTGTTCAAAGATTTATAAAGCTTGTTGAAGCTCTCAGAAAGCAGTGAAGCAACACTCTGTTGAGTTCAGTGAGAGCTGATTGGAAGGAAGAGACATCCCCCCCCCCCCTCTATCACAGCACCAGAGTGGAGGCTGTCAATCATAGGCTGTGTGCTGGAGTTCCCTCCATCACCTTTTTATCTCTTGGTGACATGAAAATTTGTCAGACGTTACTCATGCCAACAGCAGAGAAAATAGGCACCAGACAGATATGACACTTAGGGGTATATTTACTAAAACTGTTGAACTGAAAATCTGGTGCAGCTGTCCATGGGAGCCAATCAGCTTCTAACTTCAGCTTGTTCAATTAAGCTTTGGCAATAAAACCTGGAAGCTGATTGGTTTCTATGCAGAACTGCACCAGATTTGGCACTCCCCAGTTTTAGTAAATAACCCCCTTAGAGTTCTAAGTACACACCATAGAAGGATGTGCTTTGTTCATATTACATGTCTGAGGTTTCCAGCCATTTACTGGCATACCCCTTTTGATAATGTACTTGTAGTACGAAAAGCCGTGACGTCACGCCGCCGGATCACGTAGGTCCGGCGGCCAATTTTATTCACCAGCTGGTCAGTTCATATTCATGTTATTAGCATCTAATTGCTTCATCTTTTGCACTACGATAAGTGTATGTTTCTGGATTTATATTTTTATTAATTTATACCATTAACCACTTGACCTCCAGAGGATTTACCCCCCTTAATTACCACGCCTCTTTTTGCTACTCGGCGCCGCACTTATTCAACTGATAATTGCGCGGTCATGCAATGCTGCACCCAAACGAAATTTACGTCCTTTTTTTCACACAAATAGAGCTTTCTTTCGGTGGTATTTTATCACCTGTGCGCTTTTTATTTTTCACGCTATAAACAAAAAAAGACCAAAAATTTTGAAGAAAAACAATATTTTTTACTTTCAGCTATAAAAAAATATATAGTAAACTCAAAGTTGGTTATAAATTTAGGGCAAAATGTATTCTGCTCCATGTTTTTGGTAAAAAAAAAATCCCAATAAGTGTATATTGATTGCTTTGTGTGGAAGTTATAGCGTCTACAATCTATGGTATAAATACTGCAATTTACGCCATTTTTTTGCTATACAGCACTGCACTAGTTTAACAGACAATTGCGAAGTCATGCAATACGGTACATAAATGAAATTTACATCCTTTTTTCCCCACAAATTGAGCTTTCTTTTGCTGGTATTTGATCGCCTGTGCGGTTTTTATTTTTTGCACTATAAAAAAAAAAAAAAGGCTGACAATTTTGAGGAAAAACAATATTTTGGACTTTTTGCTATAAAACCTGTCCAGTAAAAAAAAAAATTTAAAAATTAAATTTAGTCATACATTTCTGCCAAAATGTATTCTGCGACATATCTTTGCTAAAAAAAAAAAAACCAATATGTGTAAATTAATTGGTTTACGTGAAAGTTATAGCGTTTACAAATGGCGGGAAAGATTCTGGGATTTTTAGTTTTTTTTTTATACTAATAATGGCGGCGATCAGCGACTTATGGCGGCGATCAGGGACTTATGGCGGGACTGCGGCGGACATTCTGACACTAGGGGGTACTGACTTGGGGTCACTGACATCCCCAGTGACACCAACACAGTGATCAGTGCAAAAAAAAAAAAAAAACACTGACACTGTACTAATGGCACTGGGGAGGAAGGGGTTAAGTTTATTTTGCAGGGCAGGGTTATCTGTGTGAGGGGAGTGTTTTACTAGGGGGCGGGGTGTGTGCTGTATGGGGACAGGCTGATCAAGAAAGAAACTCTTCTGTCCCGATCAGCTTGTCCTCGAGCTGTCAGGGAAGTGACAGAAAGCACAGCTACTGCAGCTGTGCTCTCTGTCACTGATTGCCGCCGATCACCGGGAGATAGCCGGTAAGGACCGGCTGTGACCCGGCGACTGACATCCACGGCTGTGATTGGCGGGACAGGTAGAGCGGCGGCGCGCCTCGTGCGCGCCCCCTACCGGTTTACAAAAACACACGTTTTTTAAAACGTGGTTTTGCCTGCCCGTGCCGCCGTATTTCTACAGTGGCAGGGCGGCAAGTGGTTAAAGTATCATTTAAAATACTACACCATGGGAATACCCCTTTTCTTTGCTCCACACGGAGCACTTTAATTCCCCAGCGATCCCCGGTGGCTATCCCAGTGCCTGGAGGAGTCTGATCCACACATCCTGGCTTGCCACTATCTTATAACCCAAAGGAAGGCCACTCACTCCCAGGCTACACCCCGGACCACCTTAAGAAGGGATCCTTGACCGACCACCATTTTTCCATACAATGCGCTTGATATATGTGCATCTGGCGAGTGCGCAATTTATCTACTTATTAGCACACCCACCTGAGGATTTTCTTATATACTGGGATTAAGCACAGTCACCTGGCGATTACTTGGAAGAAATTTTACTGGGATTCTACTGAAATTTTATTATCCAAACGCATTCTATATGCATGTGCGTTTTTACTAACAACTATATGTTTTATGTATTTATGATTATTTCTTATGGTTCACACACATCTAATACCTCTGTGCGGATTTCCATAAGATTTTATCTGGTATATCATTCCTGAGCGCTGCACTACTTTCATAGATTTATTTGAAGGCTTTGGTTTTACCTTTTAGTGTTTTCAGCTGCTTTTACACTTTTAGCGCTCGCTTTAACATTTTACATTTGTTTACTAACAGTTCTCCTCCCTGTCAGCTGAAGCACACTGCACAGCACAGCCATCCAAAGCAGTGTGATTACAGAGAAGCACACACAGACAAAGCCCCCTAGTAAAACACTCCCAGCACACAGTTATCCCTTTGATCGCCCTTCATGTTAGCCCCTTTCTACCCAGCGTCATTAGTACAGTGTCAGTGCCAGGGGCGGACTGACAACTCATGGGGCCCCCGGGCAATAAGGGATCATGGGGCCCCTGTGTCCTTGCCCAAACTCAAAAAAGCCTATGAAAAAGGTACCAGGGGCATCTCATGGGGCCCCCTACTGACCCCGGGCCCTCAGGCAGTGCCCGAGTTTCAAAATGGTCAGTCCGCCCCTGTGTGTGTGCCAAGAATACACGTTGAGCTGGGTGTACACAAAGGCTAGAATGACATATTCAGTTAGCAACAGCCTCCTGGGATACTCATGTCGCCCATGACACGAGTATCCCATGCGCACCGTTAAGGGGCTGGCTGTCTGGTTTTTTTTTTGCAGCTGGCCCCTTAACGTACTTCGCCATCCACTTCCATCTTCTCCTTGGGTGACGGGTGGTCGGCCTTTTGACTGGCAAGAAAAGGAAAGGCCCCACACAGGCACAGGGAGTCTGTCCTTTCGGTACAGCCAGTGTGTGCCCAGGGGCGGACTGACAACTCATGGGGCCCCCGGGCAATAGGGGATCATGGGGCCCCTGTGTCCTTGGCCAAACTCAAAAAAGCCTATGAAAAAGGTACCAGGGGCATCTCATGGGGCCCCCTACTGACCCCGGGCATTGCCCGACTTTCCAAATGGTCAGTCCGCCCCAGTCAGTGCTTTTTATTAGCACTGATCACTGTATTGATGTCAGTGACACCCAGTCAGTTCCCCCCAGTGTCAGCATGTCCGCCGCAGTCCCGCAACAAGTCGCTGATCGTCACCATTACTAGTAAAAATAATAAAAAATCCCAGTATCTAAATCACCATTTGTAAACGCTAAAACGTTCACGTAAACCAATTAATTTACACGTATTGGGATTTATTTTTTAGCAAAGACATGTCACAGAATACATTTTGGCCTAAATTTATGACGAAATTAGATTTTTTATCATTTTTTTTCACTGGACATGTTTAATAGCAAAAAGTCCAAAATATCATTTTTTTCTCAAAATTGCTGGTCTTTGTTTTTAAAAGCAAAAAAAAAAAAAAAAAAAATGCACAGGCGATCAAATACCACCGAAAGAAAGCTCAATTCATGGGGGAAAAAAAGGACGTAAATTTAATTTGGGTGCAGCATTGCATGACCGCGCAATTGTCAGTTAAAGTAACGCAGCGCCGTAACGCACAAAATGGGCTGGTCAGGAAGGGGAGGGGGAAATCCTCTGGAGGGCGAGGGGTTAAAGTAAAGCCCTGCTTTATAAAACTCTTAGCATGACTTTATCTGTATGAATATTTTCTGAAAGCTAGCTGAAATGTGTGACCAGCATTTATGCACCATATCTCAGTGCTCCTCAACCTTTTTCTAGTCGAGGCCTCCTTGAAAAGTATTTTCAGTTACGAGGCACCTCTGTCCAAAGCTTGGTTCATGTTATTGTGTCACGGAATGCACACAAAATCGCGCTCATCTCTGACACGCAGACAAAAGCTCTCTTCTTTAGGGGTACCATTTATTCTTAATGGTACCCCATACATTGGCAAACACGGGGGGTGTTTGTGGTGTGGTGCAATTAAAAAAAAAAAAAAAAGGGTCAGGGCCGATTTTCCTGCACTTCTGAGGGTAGGGCAACCTACTGAAATGAA